CAGCCATCCAACTAGATATCAGTAACGTTTTGGAAAACAGAAGGAACTCCTGTTAGTGTTTATTGTTACTTTTAATTTGCATATGTTCTAATGTTAAGTTGTGTTTTTTGTTCTGAGCAAATATACACTTACTATCCAGATAAATAGCTTTAAACATTTCCTTTGACAGCCTAAGGCTTTTGCACTGTACTGTACAATTACAGTCACTTCCTAGGGTGTATTCCTGCCAGCTTTTGGCCATCAGTCTACATTTTTACTACTGCTGAATTTGGGTCATTATACTCTGTTCTAATATCAGTTTGACATATCTGGGAGGCAGGTAAGAGAGTGAAACTCAGCAGTGGGTCTCCATAGGCGGCAGCATGTGTCCCCATCTGCTTGGCTGACCCACATGTCCTTGTTAAAGCAGCCTGAACGCCCACCCAATATTAGCCTTTTATCATACACAAGCCTATATTTGATGTTGGTTTAAAATGGAAATTGAAATGTTATATAAAGCCGTGACCAAATCTGATTGTAATCCCAAATCATAAACAAGGTATGAAATGATGTAGAAGGTGCTTCAGAGGGTGATGGTTATGCTATTCCTGTTCAGAATTAATGATTGTATGAGGCAATGGCCCAAGCACTAAGGCAGAATTAGTGACGCCATTCTAGCTAAAAATAGATTTGCGTTGTAGGGGGAAATTAGCTGAAAGAGTGTGATTCTGATAAAGCAATAATAAACAAGAAAGAAGAGTCACCTTTATATACAATTAAATGTGATGAATTTCTCCATGGGGATCAATAAAAAATATGTTTTTTGTACGAGTAACAGACAGCACTTGCTGTAATACGGAACAGCCTGATATACTCCTGCAGGTGACTCGTGTTTTTGGAGTGGACTGATAGCATCTGATAGTGGCTTGATGGTTAAGGAAGCGCACTTGTAATTAAAAGATTACAGGGTCAAATCCCCAACCAGCAAGGTACCGCCCCCAAGCACTGCTCCCCGGGCGCTGAATTAGCTGCCCCCTGCTATGTCACAAAAGTCACATATGGGTTAAATGCAGAGGACACATTTCGTTGTTGCGCACTGTGTGCTGTGGTGTGTTGGCAATGACCACTGATATCTAAATTCTAGTATTTCAATTTTACATCTGCATTCATTTAGCCACAGTACTGAGGACTGTCTTTGTATGGAAATGGGTTGCAGTTTTTTTTTTTTACCATTTTGTATTTTGAATACTCAAGGATGGTGTGTGCTATGTAATTATAAATTGCTTATACTGTACATACACCAATGAACCAAACCATTACGACCACCCCACGTGAAGCGAATAACGTTGACGATCTTGTAAAAATGATGTTAAGATAACATTCAGTACTCATAGTTAAAATGTTGAATACAGAAGAAATGGCCAGGGGTAAAGATCTGAGTGTCTTTGACAAGATCCAAATCATTATGGCCTGGTGTCTGGGTCAGAACATCTCTGAAATGGCAAGACGTGTGGGATGCTGACGGTCAGCCATGGTGAGTACCTGCTGAGAGCCGTCTGAGGAGGGAAAAGCCGTGATCCTCTGACAGGGTGTTGGGCGGCCAAGACTCGCCAATGCGAGATGTGAATGAGGGCTGTCCAGTCTGGTACAAACCAACAGAAGCACTAATGGCAGATATATTTTGATCATGATCATGGCAGCAATGTGTCACAACACAGCATGGAGTGCTGCTCTGTATCAGGCTACGTAGCTGTGGATCGGACTTGTCGGTCCAATGTATCCTGCTCACTACGTACCAGACCGTCCACATGATGTGACACAAGCTGGGATTCATCGGACCAGGCGAACTTCATTCATTACCGTAAGGTCCAGTTCTGATGCTTGCATGGCCATTATAGGCTCTTTTAACAGGGATCAGCATGGGCACTCTGTGCCCGTGACTGTGTAGCCCCATAGGCAACAGGGCTCATTGCCCTGTGTGTCAGGACACATTATTTCTGCTATCAGCACCAAAGCTAAAGACTAAAATAACAGAGATGATTGCATTAGACGATCAGCCGTTTTTCATAGTGCAGAAAGAGCCATTTCATCGGCTCATTCACCACTTGAAAGAGGTTTCAAAGTACCGGCCAACAACATATTTATAATTCATTATTAAATCTCTCTGGCGGATAAATCTTTAGCTTTCCACAGAATAACAAAAAGATGCAACGTCATTCTGCTAATCTGCAGATCCGCTCGGCGAGTCAGAGGTCAGCCGGTTCACTGTATCGGAGATGCTGCTCAGAAATACATGGATTATATCTATCAGCCAAAATTTCCACATTGGTGCATCATACTAGGTGAAAGTGGCCAATTAGATAACGCTTCCTTTATGTTGTTGGAAGTACTATTACTGTTTAGGCGGAATTCACATGCTCTCTCACTCGAGTTCATGCACACGGGTTTAGACGGGGCGTGCGTGCCCTGTTGGGGAGGTAGGAAACACATTTTTTTTCTGCTGCCTTTTCATTCTCTTTTTGCTGCACCTAACTTTGCAGTGATGATGCTGAATTGATGACGCTGAACATGTTTGCAAATGCACTTGTGGTCAAACTCTCTGAATTTTCGTGTGGACAGGCGGCAGCTGGTCTCGTGGGGTCTTGTGAACATAATAACTTAAAATATTTGATGGATCTTTTTCAAACTTTGCAGACAAATTGAATTGGGGGAGATCTGGAAGTGAACAATTTTTGAAACAAATCTCACCAAAATTAAAGCAGCGCAGCATAGTTATAGCAGAGAGAAGGACAGTCTCAGACAATCCTGTTACTGTGACAACTGATCTGAAGATAGGCTGAAGTTCATTATTTTGTGAAACAAATGAATTGTGTTGTGTTAGCAGTTAGGGAATTGCCTTCCTTTATGAATGACATGTTATGTCTGGTCATTCATTCTTTATATTACAAAGATAGGATCTAAAGATTATTCAGAATTCCTTAGTACTTTTGTTAATGCTTGCTATTATCAGAACACAGAGTGCATCACAGCTTGCTGTGTATAAGGCTGCGTAGCCGCAGACCGGTCCGAGTGCCTATGCTGACATCACTAAAAGCGCCTATAATGGGCACGTGTGCTGGAACTGGACCGCAGAGCATTGGAAGAAGGCGGCCTGGTCTGATGAGCCACGTTTTTTTGTTACTTTATCATGATGCACTATGGGAAGAAGGCAAGCCGGAGGAGGCAGTGTGATGCTCTGAACAATGTTCTGTTGGGAAACCTTGGGTCCTGGCATTCATGTGGGTGTTACTTTGGCATGTACCACCTTCCTAAACATTGTGACAGACCAAGTATACTACAGTCCAAGGGCACTATACCCAACCTCCATGCAATGTTGAAAAGATGTGTCATCCAAGACAGCCTAACAACATCAGAAACGTTCAGGGTGAATCTCATCAACCCCCAGAGCCTTACTACCAAAGAGTTTTTTGACTACTTCAGTGACTTAGATGACACGTCTCTTCAACATTGCATGGAGGTTGGGTATAGTGCCCTTGGACTGGCAGATTGGTGTGGTGGTCCCAATCTTTAACAAGAGAATATAAGGCATTCTGCTTGGAGGAGCTGGGGACGGGGCTGGGGGTGAGGGCTGGGCACTGGATGCTGGCTACTGGGTGTTGGGAGCTTTGGAAAAAAATTATGAGACCATGCTATATTTTTAAAAAAATAATAATCTACATTTTAAAATGCTGGTTTAATCCTGGCCCTGCTGGCTGAAGGCTACACTTTGTGGCAGGCTGTTCCAGGCTGTTCCAAACTGTTCCAGGCTCAGAATTTGTGAGACAGCAGTACACAAGTACAAGGTGAAGCAAGAGACCCCAGGAACAACCAGGAAGCCAGGCAGAGGGTGGAAGTGACTTTCTAATGGCAGACATGACCGTCAACTTATCTGACAGTTTCTCATGAATCAGAGGATGACATCAACTGACCTTCAAATGGAATGAGAAACATTTAGTGCAGGTGTGAAGTGCACTGCTAGGACAGTTCATATCAGGCTCATAGAAGCCCCATAAAGCAAGGAAGAAGCCCTTCATTAATGAGAAACAGAGAACAGCCAGGCTGGTGTTTGCAAAACATATATATTATTTAGAAATGCACACCCATAAATTGTGCTTTAGTCTATTATTTTTTTTAGACTTTCTGAAATCTCCTCTCATCTCTATATATAAAATAGTTCCTGTAGGGTATGGGATCCAGTGACCCCAAACCAGGTGCAAACTGTAATACTACATTAGACACACAGGGCATAGTAATTTTTATTCATTTTTATGTATTTTTTTTGGATATTTATTGGGGAAAAAAATCGTGTTTTTTTCAAATAATTTCTAGGCTTTTGGATCTAATGACCCCAAACCAGGTGCAGTTGAAATATTTCCTTTGACTAGTGTTTGTAGTTGAGTACGCAATACCATCGCCTCTTTTCTGCATCATCCGCAAGCGATCATTTGCGGGCGGTGTACTTTAACTGGCCGCTTTCCGAAAGCTTATGCCGACTCTCTAGAATGGAACTCGGCTGCTGAATCTGGAGTGTTTGGATCCAAATATTTGCCCAATGTCCAGCCTAAAACCGATTTCAGCACAGTACGATCCTGCTGTCTTTCACAGTTAACGTTTTCTGTTTCTGACATCTACTATCTGAATACTATAAAAACATATGCGCAATAGTTGTCCTATAATATTTGTAAACTTCTGACACTGAGTACGTTGTACACCGTCAACACTCAGAAGTGCCATGTCTTGCTGGACTTTGAAACATACGACAGTATACAGCATATATAAAGTGCAATGAAAGATATACATGCATATATATATATATGCGTGTGTGTGTGTGTGTGTGTGTGTGTGTCTTCTTCGATCCTATTTTTATTGTTTTATATTTGTTATGTTAATCCAGAATTTATAGACATGAGTAATTAAACCGATTGTTCTAGGCTACCAAAGGTAACCCCGCCCCCAGGAGACCTTTGAAACGTTAGTAACAGAGTAAAATTAGCCTCGATAAGAAGGCATAGGCCTAGTATGAATAAGGTATTCAGTCCCGCCTGTTCGATATCCAAGCTGCATCATCTACAACATAAGGATATATCATATGTAGAGGTGGGATATATCACAGCGTGTTGGCTGCTTAAATGCTTTATATAGGCGTATCCCGGTAAGTTGTGATTCATGACACTTACTTTATTTTCACGTATCGTAAAAAATATCTTATCACTATGACATTTGATATTTTGTGGTTTAGTGTACTGACGATCGATGCATTAAGTATCACAATATATAACAACTTTAAAAGTCGTTTCATCTTTCACAGTCGACTGCGCAATGCTGTTCTCCTTGTGGTGGTTACCCGGGTTCCCCGCATGGCTGACTTTCGAAACTACCCCTTTGGACAGCCTTCTATACGGTGGGTCACTTCTGCTTTACAGCGCAATCGGACATCGTTGAATTTTACATTGTGTAAAGAATTTTTTATCCGTGTACACTGTAAAAAATATTCCTCCTTCCAGCTGAAATTCTTAAGTGACTGATTACAGTAGCACTTTTGTGTTTGCCCAACATTTTAATGACTAATTGTAGTATCACATGTAAATTAGAAGGAAATGCTGTACTTTTGGACTGACAAATAAATTCTCATTGGCCCGACTAAAATGAACTAATACAGCCAATACCAGTTAATAGGTGTAATATTAAATACACAATTATGTTAACACCATATGCAATTGTCATACATGAACAACTATATTAGGCAACAAAACTGAGCAAATAATAAACTTGTTATTCCGCTAATTAGCCTTTTTTTTTTGGTAAACTCAAAAGAAATAGTATAATTGGTACTCTTTTTTTAACAAAAAATAAAGCATTCTGGTGAAAGAATTTTTTTCTTTCTTTAAAGCATTTTTATTTCCTTAAAACATTGTACTTTCATTAATAGTTCGCAAATATATGGATAACATTTCAAAAATAAATTGGCAAAGTACCATATTACTGAAAAAAAAAGATTTAACTCACTTGTAGGTGTTACATAAATATATTATGTCAATATAATATAAATGCATTTGTGCACAGCAGCAGCACAAATGAAATTAGCACTGCAGAATGAAATTAGCACTGCAGAATGAAATTAGCACTGCAGAATGAAATTAGCACTGCAGAATGAAATTAGCACTGCACGAATGAAATTAGCACTGCAGAATGAAATTAGCACTGCATGAATTAAATTTGCATTGCATAGTGTTTGTACTGGTCCACACCAATCAGCATTAAATTTAACACCGTCATGTGGAAAACTGTGACCAATATGGACCTTACAGCCTTTTCTGTTTTTGTATCTAATCGTTGCTTTTGTTAGCTTTGCTTTGATTGTTCTTGATGGTTAGGGACCTGTGTTCTTGTGAGCTGAGCAAACATTGTTCTTAGCTCTTTCCTTGCTTGTCTATATTGATGTAAGTTAGGAGCCTGATGCACTAACTAACAGTAAATGGTGACAAAGACTGTGGCTCTCCATCCATGCGGTGGGTTGGTAAATATTTTAAAAAGTTTTCTTTCACCAGAATGCTTTGTTTTTTGTAAAAAAAGGAAAAAGAGCACATATTATATTATTCCTTTTGAGTTTATCATTTGCTCAGTTTCGCTGTTTGTCCTATATAGTTATTTTATGTATGACAATTACATGGTTTTGACTTAACGGTGTAACTAATATTATATTCATAAACTATTTTTGGCTATATTAGTTCATTTTAATTCAGGCCAATTTGAATTTGTCAGCCTAAAAATACAGCATTGTAGTGATTACTACAGTTAAAATGTTGGGCAAATTCAAAAGTGTTTTTGCAGTCAGTTACTTGATAGGCGGAAATATTTTTTACAATATATGACAATGATGGACACTTCTCAATACCTCTTAGCTGTATTTAGTTTATATAACATTTCAGGGGGAAACTTTATGTAGGCTAGGGAGGTGCTGAAAGAATTACAAATGAATAATACGTTTTTTTTGTGTGATTTTCAGGGCTGGTGGGTGCTTACGGCATATCTATACTCGGCAGTTTCTTGAGAACCCACCTTTTCCTCAAAAACCTAAGGTGACATTTGATTGACTCTCTGTTTCACAAACAGAATTTACCAGCTTCACGGATTTAAGATGCTTATTCAAGTTATTCATATTTCCTTTACTTTGTTTTCTATTTACACTACCGATTGTCTGCTGTACTGAAAATGAATTTCTATCATTCACTTAGGAGGCTTAGATGCCATTTAGTTATCGTTACTGTAATATCATATTGTATGTGTACTGTAGATGATTTCAGCTTATTAAGTTACATACAACCATCAATACATAATGTGCTATGGATGCTTGTGTGCAGAAGAGATGAAAATGTGCATCAATGCATTTTTAAAGGGTTTGTCTTTTTGCGTAATTAAACTGATTATCAACATGTAACCCTCTTTATATGTGAATTAGTGGGGATGAAAGGAGCAGTAAGGAGAGCCAGCATCCCTGGAGTGGTGCCCAAGGCAGGCTGAGTGAAACCCTGCAGTTCTGGTTCTGCGTCGGCGTTCTCTCTCTGGTGGGTTCTCGGGTTGCCTCCCTGGTGGTTTTGGAGTTCATCCTCAGAGCAGCTTTGGCTCGAGTGTCAGTTCGCCCGGTAAGTACCGTTTAGAGCAACGAGACTGACATGTCTAGTTTCCTTTACATGCTGATCCATTTATTCCGCAAATACCAATCACTGATAAGCGACAGACTACCCACTAGCTGAAATCTGTGTTCCATAACCAACAGATGACTTTTTTAGCACACTGACCTGTTCTTTTCCCACCAGGACCTGTGGTCCAGTAGCACTGCGCAGTTCCTCACTCAGTGCCAGTTCTCTCTGGGCTGTGCTCTGACCTGCAGTCTCCACTTTCTCCAGGAGGGGGCACCACACTGCTCACTGAACCTCTTCCTTGCAGCAGGCCTTAGCTGGCTCCTGGCCAACTTGAGTAGCCGCATCTGGCTCCATGTGGTTCCACTGTATCGACTGCACAGCTCCCAGCGCTACTGCGGCCTGTGCATTGGACTTCTTAGCTCAGGACACGCCATTCTGCCCCTCTTATCTCGAGGGGTCGTGCTCACCTTTGTCACTGGTGCCTTTGCTGGCCTGTCAATTGTCAGTCGCGATTTCCTGTCTTCTGCAGATGCACTGAGATTCTGGACCCCCCTAACCATCTGCTACACACTGCTGGTGGTCTATATGCATGGTGAGAAAGAGGACAGCAGGCGCTGAGCCAGACACTGTACAGTGGGGTGGCCAGTGCAGACCCAAGGGTTTTACTGGGGTGGCAACGGGGTAATATTTTGCCAGCTGGTGTTGGGGGGCAGGGTAGTGTATGTCTCCATCTCTATACATTGCGAACTTGGGGGGGTGAGGGCTCCCCTCAGTATCCTTTGGGATGCTACGTATTTAATAGGGGAGGGCTATCCCCGTATATATATGTTGTTAGTGGTCTACACACAGTGTTATATCTCCCCCTGTGGGCACACAGTGACCCTGCACGGGATCAGCAGTTATGATAGATGTACTGATAGATGCTTTAAGCTGGAGCACAGGGTCAGCCATCTTTCTGGCACAACTAGAGCAATATTTGGGATAAAAGACCTTTCTCAAGGGCCCAAGCAATGATCACTCTGCTAGCCACGGGATTTGAGCTAGCAAAACAGGCACAGAGCCAAGCACCACCCCATAATATTGTATTAGATCCATTAAGTGCTCTTTGCAAGATATTATAATCCCTTGCTTTTGAATGAGTTTTATATATTGCATTCTGAGCCTTAGATAACTGAAGTGCAAGTCATGAATTGTGTGATGTCATAGAAGGTAAATTGTCTTGATAAATAAAATCTCTTTAATAGCCCTCAGAATATGAAAAAATGATTATAATATTGCCTTCCATCCGACTTCTCGCACGGCAGACGAGCAGCGCCGGCAGACCGGACCTCAGGCCCTGCTCCAGGCTGTGGGGGTGCGGCTGGGGGGGCTGCTGGTGCTGATGCTGACGGTGGGCCGCTGGGTGGATGTGCTCCACATCCTGCTCTGCTTCCTGGGCGAGGCCGGCTGCCTGCTCCCCAGCCGAGATCTGCTGGATGCTGCACTGCAGGTCAGCCTGTCGCCCCGTGCCTGTTTCTATGCGCCTACCCCTGTACCTCTGTGATGTACCTTTTGGTTTTTATGTTGCTCTTCATTGGCCTTTCCTTCTTAGTCTATAACCTGCATTAAGTTCTCACAGATTAGTCACCACTAACTCGACATCTGTATAGCCGTGGTTCTCTCTTGGCCTGCAGCCGCCTCTCTGATCATGAACGTATTTGGTTATATCTGTATATGATGTATTGCCTGGCTTTGGAATATGTCTCTTTTTGTCTGTCTCGAATTAAAAGTATTCCTAATTACATTTCTGCCGGAAAGATACCAATATACCATTGGAAGTACATCAATGAAAGCATTATTATAGACCAGAGATCACACACGGTTCGATTAAAAATTGTTTTTATTATAAACAGGGGTTGAATTCCACTTCCCTGTAAATGGTCGCACATTTTTGTTATGAATAAAGAAAGAAGGGAAGGGAAAGGAAAAGAAGAAAAAGGATCCTTATGTCTGTATGACCACTTGTCTGCTTACTTAGAGGGTTAGGAAGGTCTGTCTGCTTTAAGCACGAGTGCTGTGGCATTAAAACCCAACTTACGCGGGTTTGGAAGGTCTGTCTGCTTTAAGGACGAGTGCTGTGGCATTAAAACCCAACTTATGCATCTTTCTGCAGGAAGTAGGAAAGGAGGTGGCACCACACAGAAGGACTGAGAGGCCAGGGAGACTCCAGGAAGCGGCCCTTAAACCTCGCAAAGATAAAGACCTTTAGCTGCTCATAGCTCAAGGCAAAGGAACATTTCCCAGACGATATAGATTTGGTAATCCCTGGTGTGGCATGTCAGCCATTTGCAAGGGTGCTATTGTATTACTGTTTTAGAATGTGCTGAAAGACACGGGGAAATCAGTAAAGGAAGATGACCAGACAGATTAGAATAGACAGCCTGTGAACAAGGAATTATTGTACAGGAGTATAGGAACCTGAGTGTAGGTTTGTGCTGAACAGGACCCAAGATGCCCTTTAGTTTTATATAATATTTTTTGTTATAATCATTGTTCCATCTTTCTGCTGCTTATCTTAATCAGGGGCAAAAATAACAATTAAAAAATAACAAAAAGGCACATTACAAATCAGGCAGAAGTATTTTACATACTATACATATATACCAAAGGTGGAATACTGCAAGGTATATGTCCATGTAACATATCTGGCTTTGTTTACTATCATATCAGAAAAAAATCGTTTGGTGGACAAAAAATAGATTGACCTTTGGCACAATAATACAAACAAAAAGTCCACTATTTAAAATTTCTGTCTAAAGATATTCAATTCATATGTGAAGTGGAAGAATATTTGCTTTACTACATATGTCTCATTTACAATGGATCAGCTGTGGAGTCTACATTTCTGGTGTTTTATATACAGTATACTTTGTACTGAAGACCTGCCATACATATACACTGCAGAACTTCAGAAGAGAAAAATGCCTGAACATGTGATGATGCTGTCAGAGATGCTTTTGGGGAAGGGCTGGGAGTTTGATTAGGCATGTCAATAGATCACGAAGGATTTCAGATTTCCCATGTTTGCTCTCACATGCAAAATTGTTTACTTTGTGATACAGCACAGAATCACTAAATGTTGTATCCAGAGTAATAAAGGAATATGTTTTCTCATGATTCAATGAACATAAAATGAGACATTTCTCATTTGGACATGTTCAAGGTGTGCTGTATGTTAGCCCTATATGAAATGCAGTTCATTATGTGAAACATTGCAGGAACACAATCTGTTATTAAAATCTTTTCATCAGAAGCTAGAGAACAACAGTCAATCATTGTACATTCAAAAACGAGCAGCTAAGTTGTGTAAATAAATGAATTATAAAGTGTTACAGATATTGAGTACTAAATGTGGTATAACAAAGGGTGAGAATTCATTTTTCTCAAATATCAGTCTGGACGAGCACCCCACCATACTTTTAATGACACCAGGTGAATCACATGGCAGTTATACTGACATTCTGGGCTGTGACCTTCAGTGGAACAGTCTGTCATGATATCGGGATACCTTTGGATTGAAAACAAAATTTGTGGTATAGCCCATCCCTATTCCATATACCTTCTCAAAACTTTGTCTCCATTTTGATTGGCTCTAGTAATGTCAATGCACAATCCAATAGGCACATACATAAACGATTACCTATGCAACTCTACTGACCTCAATATCATAATCCCTCTACGACTGACTTAAATATAACACAAATGCAAAATACTTAATTTTTTTTACACCTCTGCATTTCTGAAGAGCAATGGGCATCCTATCCAGGGCGTCCCCTGCCTTGTGTCCTGAGTCTCCTGAGATAGGGTCTAGGGTCACCGCGACTGGATACTGAATAGAAAATGGATGCATATTGCTTGCTGTATTAGTCTAGATACTTTTACGGAAACATTTCTGTTATATTGCTTCGACCTTCAAGTAAAGTTTATATTATTGGTTTTCTAAATTCATTCCTTCTATCCTTTGCGCTACATCCAAGTTCTTTTCACTACATTTATTAATCTTATGGCAAAAGCTTCATAAAACACGGTCAAAATGATAAGATGCTAGTGTTGGAGCCTTATTTTGGTTTTTAGTTGTTATTGAAGGAAAGAAAATGCATATATTGGGCATAAGCGATGGTCTAATGGCACAGTGAGCACTATTGCTGGGGCGTGAGTCTCCACCAGAGCTACGTGTGTGGAGTTTGCATTTCCTCTCCATGTCGTTGTGGGGTTTCCTCCGGGTGCTACGGTCTCCCCCACACACCCTGCCTATCAAACCTTCACTCTCATGAAGTCTGGCGGGTGGTACTGTACCTGGGTGTTAATGACAGACTCTGGAACAGTCTAATGCCCCCAGGCCATTAGAAGCATCGACAACTGCCGCCCTGCAGGCTCATACTCTGAAATAAATTTTGTGGGGGGTCTGGCAGATTTTGCTGGCCAGTGTGGGGGGGGGGTAGATTCCTCTGAAGTAGATTTTGCCAGCCAGAGGGCAGGAGTAAATTGATCGACCTGGTTGGGAGCTCACTAATTGTCAGGGGGGTTCAAACCTGTAATTTTACATGCCCCCACCCCAGGCACTATGACAATGATCAGCCAGCATACTGCACTTCACATGCAGTCGCACATCAGTGATCAGCAACAGTCACTTCATGGGGCACATTTCTTTCCCACATGCTATTTATACGTATGTATATTTTCCCAAAAGTTTTGAGGATGACATAAGTACTGGGTTTTACAAAGTTTACTGCTTCAGTAGTTGTAGACCTTTTTGTCAGATGTTTCTGTGGTATACTGAAGTATAATTACAAGCATTTTACAAGTGTCAAAGGCTTTTATTGACAATTACATCAGGTTTATGCAAAAAGTCAATATTTGCAGTGTTGATCCTTCTTTTTCAAGAGCTCTACAATTCTCCCTGACATGCTGTCAATCAACTTCTGGGCCAAATCCTGACTGATTGCAGCCCTGATGGCAAACTGTTCTTGGATGGTTGGGAGAAGTTGCTCTCAGGGGATGTTTTGGTACCATTCTTTATTCATGGCTGTGTTCTTTGGCAAAATTGTGAATGAGCCCACTCCCTTGGCTGAGAAACAACCCCACACATGAATGGTCTCAGGATGCTTTACTGGCATGACACAGGACTGATGGTAGCGCTTACCTGTACTTCTCCAGACAATATTTTTTTCAGAAGCTCCAAACAATCAGAAGGGGGATTCATCAGAGAAAATGACTTTACCCCAGTCCTCAGCAGTCCAATCCCCGTACCTTTTGCAGATCATCAGTCTGTCCCTGATGTTTTTCTTGGAGAGAAGTGGCTTCTTTGCTGCCCATCTTGACACCAGGCCATCCTCCAAAAGTCTTTGCCTCACTATGTGTGCAGATGCACTCACACCTGCCTGCTGCCATTCCTGAGCAAGCTCTGCACTGGTGGTGCCCTGATCCTGCAGCTGAATCAACTTTAGTAGACAGTCCTGGTGCTTGCTGCACTTGCTTGGGCACCCAAGGCTTCTTCACAACAATTGAGCCTCAGTCCTTGAAGTTCTTGATGATCCAATAAATGGTTGATTTAGGTGCAATCTTACTAGCAGCAATATCCTTGCCTGAGAAGCACTTTCTGTGCAAAGCAATGATGACTGCTTGCATTTCCTTGCAGGTATCCATGGTTAACAGAGGAAGAACAATGATTTCAAGCACCACCCTCCTTGTAAAGCATCCAGTCTGCTATTCTAACTCAATCAGCATGACAGTGTGATCTCCAGCCTTTTCCTCATCAACACTCTCACCTGTGTTAACGAGAGAATCACTGAAATGATGTCAGCAGGTCATTTTGTGGCAGGGCTGAAATGCAGTGGAAACGGTTTTTTTGGTATTAAGTTCATTTTCATGACAAAGAGGGACTTTGCAATTAATTGCTGATCACTCTTCATAACATTCTAGCAAATTGCTATCATAAAAAATGAGGCAGCAGACTTTGTGAAAATTAATATTTGTGTCTTTCTCAAAACTTTTGGCCACAGCTGTACAATTCATTGTATTGGACCAGACACTTTATTTTTTAAATGCATGAGATTCTGTACCAATACCAATATGTATATTTTATTTTATGTATATTTTACATTTTGAATATTTATATACCTTACGTTAGTACGAACGTTAATTTTTTTTTGTCACCTTTTTTTTTATCTATGGTAGACACGTATATTTCATGTTCTGTCTACTGTGCTATTGTTGCTTTTTCGTTTTTATTGTTTTTTGCAGCATATGGAGCGAATAAAATATGAATTTCATTGTTTACTGCACATATGACAATAAATTATTTGAATATTGTACTTGGGATTCGTGACAATAACGCTTTCGAATGCTCTGAATATATATGTAGTTCCTTGACTGGCCCCTAGAGGGCACATGTAATCTACTTTTTATTCCATTTTTACATAACCACCATTAGAATTCGACTTACTTATTTCGCAATAAACATTTAAATAACTACTCTCCCATAGCCTAAACCGTTTCTGTGGAATTTTCCCAAAATACTGCAGTGTACTTTAAGCCTAATTTGTTCACACAAACCTATAGAAATAGGCACAATTTCTTGGGTAAACGTCAGCAGAAACAACTTAGGACATAGAGATGATGTGACAGATTTGAATGACAACAGCCAAAATTAGATTTGAAATGTTCCCCAAATTGCCTTGAGAAAAACAAAATAACTTAATATTAATAGATACTTCACTGATCCCTGTAGGCAAATTCTCTTTATGCCTCCCCCAACTTGCTCACTGCAGGTGAGAACAAGCTGTCTGCAAATGGCAGCCACCTGTTATGGCACCCAGGGAGCTGGGGGTTAAGGGCCTTGCTTAAGGACCTACAGATATGCCAAGGCTGGGCTTGAACCAGTAGAACAGCATGTCTATGTAATGACAAGCATAGAGGTTTAGCCCACTGAGCCACACACTTGCAATGCGTAATATGTAATATACAAAATAACTTGCAATACACATGATCACAACAAATAGTTCACCAATAAATATGAATTCCATGTGATTCATGTGGCACTTCATTAATGTAGTAGTCCTTTACTAATTTAATAAATATATACAGCATATTAATCCTGCCAGCCACCTTCCATAATGGTGTACAGTGCTGAGCAAACAGAAAAAACAGGACACAAGGTGGGATCTTTAAAACCCCCAAATGAAAGCTATGCAAACACAGAACACACGAAGTCCACACACAGACAGTGTGGGCTGTTACGTCCTGCCCACCACATCTGCCTGACCCTCCTGTGTCCCGCCTAACATGCCCCTGATGAGCCACGCCTTCTGCTTGTTACCCCTCATTAGTCTTTGCATATAAGTCCCTCTTTGTCTTGTCATCCCCAGTCTGGCTATTAACGTCTGCCTTCCTGTTGCCTGTGCAGTTCCCTGTATCAGTCTTCTCCGTTTTTGATCCCTTGAGGTTCTGTTTGATTCCCAGTCCCTGTTCAGTTTGGATATAATAAAGCTCTTCCCAATGCCATTCCATGAGTTCTTTGTCTCTCAAACCATGACACCTAGAAGTACACAGCAACATTCCACCTATAAATGTACTGTATTATTATATAATCTGTATAAATCCTGTAGAAAATTCACATTTACCAAATGTGTATCATTATACTGTATACTATACACTAAAATAAAATCTTCCATAAAAGAATTACTATTTTGTCAAGTTTATGCAAAAAGTCAATATTTGCAGTGTTGATCCTTCTTTTTCAAGAGCTC